TATAGGATACACTAACTTGTACTATTTTTTGGGGGGTGGTTAATGAAAGTGTTCCAAAACGCGACATTAACTTGCCGACGACCTAATATATATATATATACATATTGATGAATCTATTTTCTTGTTATATTTTCTTTCTTTTTAAATATAGTTAGTTCATGCATTCGATGTAAATCCACATTCAAAACCAGTTTTAAAGATAACAACTACTGTGGCAGTCAATGTTAATGCTGTTACACTGCACTACTTTATTCTTGTTCTATTTGAAATGGTACTACGTCTTACTTTTCATTAGCAGTAATATGAGGTTAATATTATGCCGTAAGTAACATTCTCGAAATCCCAGTAAGGAAGAAAATGATTAAATAAAAGTCGTGACTGATATATTTTGAGATGGACGTAATGGTAAGAACATGGATGTGGTTTTGTTTTCTGATCAGTATTGGCGGCAAAATTATACAAGTTTTCAAAGAACAAAACCAACAATAATAAACTAAAATTGTTTATTTTATTTCACAAAAACGTATTAAGAGACAATGTTTAATCCGTTCGTAACGATGTGGGAAACGAATGTTAAAAGAGTTAGTATTAAAAGCTGAAAATATATTTCTACTAATCAAATCATTTTCCCCTCTCATTTTTCAGAAAGTACGTAATAGCTGAACTATATAATGGCATGATATAAACAATTTCCTATGTTCGGTTGTTTATATTCACACTATATCATCTAGGTTTTGTTTCGGTGTCATTGTTTCTCTGTTATATTTATTAAAACCCACTCTTTCACTCATTCAAACGAACGCGCAACTTTAACATTTGCATGCCAAAAAAATAACTATTTTAACTATTCTTTTCTATCTGAAAAAGTCATTAGTTGGACATCAAAATATGAATGGTTATTTCAGAATACAAGTAACCTAATTTAGAAGAGATATCTGTGTAACTTGATTTACTGTTCTATAGATAAGATAAACAGGGAATTAACTAGTAATTTTTTAAGGAAAAGGCTCGAATTTTCAAAACAAAATAGTCAAAAACGGTAATGTTATCTAACTTGCAAAGGTGAGGTGAATATTGCTTTAACAATATTACTATAATCATCACTACATCACTAGTGATCTGGTGTAAAGTTTTCTCAAAAACAAATTAACGAACTTGTTTTTAATTTATCGGGAATCAATCACACTGGAAAATCCTGAGTTATTCATCTCTCTTTAAGCTATTCGAGTGATTGTCATTCTTGAGTCTCTATCACAACTTGAACGAAACAATAAAATGCTGGAGACACTTATGGTGTTTCTAGGATTTTTTTATGTGAGAGCATAAAGGGGGGAGGAGTTAGCTTGGGATGCAGAAAAAATCAACACTTTCATGTCAGTGGGAAGAAGTGTAGAGAATTTAGAAATATTAAAAGACTATATCTTAGATAGGGCAGAGTATTCCAATGGGGTTCTGCCCCCCACGCCAACGCGGTGGACACGTCCATGATTGGAAACCTATTTTCAAAGTAAAAGTAAGTTATATCTCTTCCTGTCAGAAGTAATAAAGCATCAGCTGAACTTCAGTTTTATTGAACTGTAATTTCGTGTCGTGTGTATTTATTACCAGCATAATTTGCTGAGTATAAAGTATAGATATTAGGAGATTTTCATTATTGCGTCATTTTAGCTTTAGATGGTTATTTAAAATTTTGGGAAACTGGATTAAACTTCAATGTTTTTGTACCTTGCGTCAGCTTTTAAATAAAAACAAACAAGCAAACAAAATGTTGTATGGATTCTAGAGTCTGGCATTGTTAGATAAGAAAGTATCCCTTCATTGTATTGACGTAAAATGTTTTTGTTACCACGTTTCTTCCCTAGCTTCTCGATAAGAAGCATATTTATATAATATTAGCTTTAATCGCCATCACTTTGTGATTATTCACTCGGTCATTATCTGCTTACTATAAGGGAACTCCATGTTTTAATTGTTTATTGCTCCTTCTGCTCTTAATAGTCTTGAACAAAACAGGGACGCATCTTTTGAAACATGACGTTGTAACAGTTTCTATTGTTGGGCTTTGGATACTTTTGTAAAAGGAAGAATGAAAACTCGAGTTCACTTGCATTATAATTCTTCGACCACGAACCATATCTTTTATTATTCCAAAAGCAAAGATTTGACAAGTACACTCCAGTGTCACAGTGGTATGTCTGCGAACTTATACTGCTAGAAACCGGGTTTCGATACCCGCGGTGGGCAGAGCACAGATAGCCCTTTGTGTAGGATTGTGCTTAATAACAAACAACAAACACAATATCTACAAACAAAGCCAATTCGAAGTTCTGTCTCTGATCTGAGTGAAGTTTCATAGGAATTCTAAATCTGGAAACAAATTCAATATCAAGCTCTCCTGCTAAAGTTTCTGCTTTCTGGTTAGAAGCAGCATAAGCTTCTGCTCATTTGGTGAAATAGTCCACCACATTGTTTAACGAATTAGAAACAAGCATAAGTTAACAAATAACGCTTAACAGTCACTTACTTGTTAATTTTCTCGAACGCACGGCGTTTCTCAGTCGAAACACAAATTCAATATTCACAAAACTGAACTAACTACCAAAATACACTAATTCCCACGGTGCTCTATGGTAAAGGATCATGCGCAGTGACAGCAACCCTCCCAAGTACTGCTCCAACAAAATACTGCTGTAGCTGTTCATATTGCTTTCTTCATGTCCCTTTTCACTCACAGTTCATAGTTCAAACTCAGTACAAGCTGTCCAATATTTTCTTAACACTTAATTGTTGGAAGGCTTAGTGGAGTGCTTCTGATTGTAGTGATTGTAGAAAACCAACTGAAGTCGTAATTTTTGTCTATTGATATCTTCCCATTTTTGACGAAATCCAA